TGCACCATCTTCCCCTCTGGAGCCAGGAAGTGATACTCTAAGTGAGGACCAGAGCTCTCCCAAAGTGAACCAAAGCTATTCTCAGTGCCAACAAGGTCCTGTGCTCCTCAGGGGATGAAAACAGCCAAGTTCATTAGGAAAACGAGCACGATAAGCTCCTCCAACAGAACCAACAGCTCCTTACAGCTTCCGCCAGCTCCTAACAGCCTTTCTCTGCTCCCAAGAGCCTAATTTCTTCTTCTCCAGTGCTTCCTGTTATGCTGCTGGCAACAATCTCCAGGTGGGCCTCCCACACCCAGCACCAGGCTTACTCAGTTCAGCTGGGGGTTGTAAGTTGACCACCAGTTGTCAATCCACTACAATAGCATCAAACACAGACTGGAAAATGACAAATTATGTGATAACTAATAATTAGCCATCTTTAACCCTAGGTACAAGATTTATAGTTATATAACAAAATCTAAGACACATCTGAAAATTATATACAGCAAATACCCACTTAATGGAATGATTTTACCTTAAGGGCAGAAAATTTAAAAGGGAATAGATGAAAAAATAGAGAAATGAAAGAAGAAAAAGAATTGGAAGCAAGACTGAAGGACAGAGGAAGACTGCCCAAGTCTCAAAAAATTTTGAAGAAGACATGAGGGAAGGAAAGAAGTAATCAAAACCAAGAAAAAAAGACAACAAAAAGCTAAAAACAGTGTTTGCGTGCACACACACACACACGCACAAACCCCAAAATCAAGCAATCAAAAACAAATGCAGAATACATTAAAAAAAGGGAGAAATTTCTCTGTAATTTCAAGCCTGTGGTTGCCTTCTGGGGTCTACAGTTTTGTGGTAATGTCCAGTACAATGTGTGACTCTGTTCTTGCTCATAGACAAGGATGGCAGTCAGAGCCTAGATCCATTCAGAATAATCTCAGCAAGCTGGGAGTAGGATTAGTGTGGGGTGCTGGTTCTAGGACTTGCAAATCCATAGAAATTCAGCGTGACCCTTACTTCTGGTCATGGGGTGTGGCTTGAGTCACTTAGCTTATAACTCTGGGTTTCTCTTGATGGCCTGACCCCAGCCCCTTGACCATGGACATCTCCCCGACCCAGTCTGTGTGGGAGTCTAACCCTGTTGGGCCTGAGAGGAAGTCAACCTGTGGCTGCTGTGAGTCCCAGGTTTAGTTGGCCCCTCCCTGAAATGGTGTCCACCTAATCACTCTCTCCAGGGGATGTGGCATTGATTAGACTGGAGTCGCCACTAGCTGTTACAACACACACTGTCCACCGCTCTGTACCACTACTGTGTTTCTCCCTGTGGGCTTCTGGAGTCACCCACTTGCAGTATTTCTGTAGATTTGATCTTCTTTTCTCTCGCTTTGAGCCAGGCGCCAGGGAGAATGTATAGATTGCCCTTTCTTTTTTCTGCATTGTGGTCTTTCTCTTCAGTTTGTCTTAGGGTCTAGTTTCAGCTTCAGATTCTTCCTGGGCCTCAGGGATCCACCTCCCTACTTCTTTTCTTCCCCAAGTTGTTATTTTCCAGTGCCTGCATTCCAAATCTCACTGAGAGTGATTTGTTGCTGTTTACCACTCTGCCATTTTCCCAGAAGTTGATTTGTTGCATTTTAGGGAAGTGCACCTTTTTGTTTTTAATTGGAAGGTATTCCAAGACTCATGAAGATGACTTGCATGTCATCTTCTGATTTGTGGTCTGGCTGGATTAGTGAAGATGTATAATACATCCCTGGAGTGAGTGTTTGCAGGGACTTTACCTCTGAGGAAGCCCAGATGCACTTCTCAGTGGAATCAGGGTCCTGTGTATGCATAAATCCCAGACGGGGCAGCTGGCTAAGAGTATGAAAAATGACGCATTGCAAACTGCAGGGGTTGTTTAGTTTAGTTTAGTTTTGTTTTGTTTTGTTTTGTTTTTTTGAGTCGGGGGTCTCACTGTGTAGTTCTTGCTGGCCTTGAATCACTGTTTGCCCAGCCTGACCTCAAACTCATTATGACCCTCTTTCCTCAGGATTGCAGGTCTTAAGGAGACTTTGTGTGTGAATAGTCTGAAGTTTTAAACTCTTTGAGTATAAGAAGAAATGTACAAAATAAACACTGTATTCAGTTTCATCTCAAACATGAAAAGTACAGACTAAAGCAAGATAAATGTATTTTTTATTATATTAATTTTTTTGTTTTTTGGTTTTTTTGAGACAGGGTCTTACTATCTAGCCCAGGCTGGCCTCAAACTTGTGATGCTTCTTCTGCCTCTGTTTCCTGAATGCTAGGATTACAGGCGTGTGCTACTACGCTCAGCTGTTATGTTTACTTATTAATTTATTTTTGTAGCAGGAATTGAACTCAGTACCTTGTGCTTACCAGGCAGGCATTTGTGCCACTGAGTTGTCTCCCCATCCCTAATATTTATTTTTTAAAATAATTTTTTGGTGTACTTTTGATATACATAACAATCACATTCATCATTGGGAATTTGTACCTGTGTATAATATATCTTCATGTATAGGTGTCATGTTTTCTTTACCTGTTCATCCACTGATGCAGGTTTAGGTTCAGAAATATCCTTTTTAATGCCTTTTAAAAATAATCCCTTCAAACACAGAAACAGTACAACATGTCTTGATTCTTTTTTCCCCATTTCCTCCCTTCCCTTCAACCCTTGTTTCCTTCCTTATTTACAAAAGCTTTGTTTCTGTTTTTTCCTTCTATTCTTTTTTGTGTGTGTGCTTTTCCCTTCCTTTCCTTTCCTCTCCCCCTCCTCTGTCTCCCTTTCCAACTGGAACATTTTCTTCCTACAAGAGAAACACTTATAGGATTAATTGTGCATACGTTCACAACTTGGCATGTTGTGGACACTGTTTTTCATCAGGAACTGCATGCAGACCAAAAACAATTTAGAAATTAGAAGTCTTATTACTGCAGAAGTGGTATCTTCCTTTCCCTAAGAAAAGAATCTTTGGGAAGATCTTATTGGTGGGATGTTGTCTTGGGCACAGGTGGGATGTTACTGTTTCCTAGAGTGATTTGTTACCCTTTTTTTGTGCTTTTTTTTAAATTTTGGTTTTTTGTTTGTTTGTTTTTTGTCTTTTTGAGAGAGGGTCTCACTGTGCAGTTCAGGCTGGCCTTGAGCTCACTTTGTAGCCCAGGCTGGTCTTGAACTCACAATGATCCTACTGCCTCAGCCTCCCGAGTGCTGGGATTACAGGCATGAGCCACCACGCCCGGCTTTTTTGTGCTTTTTGAGACAGGATCTCACTACATGGTTCAAAGTGGCCTTAAACTCACTATGTAGTTAGTCCAGGCTGGCCTCAAACTCATGGCGATGCTCCTGCCTTAGCCTCTCGAATGCTGGGATTATAGGTGTGTGCCACCACACCCACCTGTTTATTACTTTTGAAGCCCATAGGAGAATATTTGCTACTCATTCATAATATGACAAAATGAGCCTTATACAGTACACCTGTGACTCTTATACAGCACAGCTGTGAAAGTTTGCAAGTTTGCAACTTGAGTGTTCCTAAGTTGGGACTTACTGTCATTATTGATAATGAATCTGAGATACTGGGTTTTAAAAACTCCACACATTAAAAAATACACATGCTTAGTCAGGCATGGTGGCACACACTTGTAATCTCAGCACTTGGGAGGCTGAGGCAGAAGGATTGTTGCGAGTTCAAGACCAGCCTGGGCTACAAAGTGAGCTCAAGGCCAGCCTGACCTGCATAGAGAAACTGTCTCAAAATGCAAAACAAACAAACAAACAAACAAAAAAAAAAAAAAACCTTAAATAACAGCAAATTCTGGGCTGGGGATTTAGCTAGTGGCACAGCGCCTGCCTGGCAAGCACAAGGTCATGAGTTCGATTCCCAGGACCGGGAAAAAACAAAACAAAACAAAACAAAACAGCAAATTCTATTGTTAGAAAATTCAAAAGAAAAATAAGCTATACTTTACTGACTTTTTTTTGGCGACATGAATGAAATGTTGTATTTTACATCACATGACTAAAATCTTTTTATTGGAATCAGTTGTCTCATGGTGCCATAAGAATGTTCTGAATGGCTATTAAGAGAGAGTAATTACATGTCACTGAAACGGATACCCTTACTGCTAGATCATGAAGCAAAAATGGATGAATGAACAAATAAATAAATAAAATTATCTCTAAAAACAGGTTCTATGAAGGCTATAATCTGAAAGATTGTTTTAGAAGCCCTGACACCCTCTGTTAGAAAGGAAAATTTTAGAAACCTTCCTAACAGAAAATAGCCAGGAGTAGTGTTTCTACTTAATAGTATCTTATAGAAATTTAGATAATTATCTTGTATTCTTTTACCCTTTTAAAGTCGTAGCATAACAGGCTGGAACATTTCACACTTAAGATACTGCCAGTAGCCCAATTTCTTATATATTAAAAATAGTCAAAGTCTATAGAGAAAATGAAGCCAGTGCTTGGTTTTTTTATTTTGAAACAGGATCTCACAAAGTTGCCGACGTTGGCCTCAAACTTGCAGTCCTCTTGCCTTAGCATCCTGAGTAGCTGAGACTACAGGCATGTGCCATCTTGTGCAGCTTGCTAGTGGGTTTTTAAAATTTGGTTATCATTAAAATCCCTGGTAGTTACTTCAAGTATAATAGAATGATGGCCTAATAGTAATGTAGTATTGTTCATTCCTGTCTTATAACTTGAATGTAACTATTATAGATGATATTCTATATGAATATGTGGTAAGATATAGTCTATATAAAATATATAATGTATAATTATAGATATTTTAAATGCTAATGAAGATATTACTTTTTATAATGTTGAAGACTTAAATATATTACATTCTGAGAAATCTTATTTACTTAGTATAGTCACTTGTCTTTTGTTGATACTATTTGGTAAATATTTCTTAGCGATTTCTTTACCTGACATTTCTTTGCCAAGGGAAAATGGGGTACTTTGGTGCAGTATAAGATTTAATAAATGGATTTTTCCCCCTATTTAGTGGAGAGGCATAGAAAGAAGAAAATCAATGCTGGGATAAACAGAATAGGAGAGCTGATTCCCTGTTCCCCTGCCCTGAAGCAGGTAAGAATCCCCTCATATTTTCATTCATTACTTGTGAATAGACAGTTCCCTAAATTGCTTCGGTGTGTAGTGATTATTTTTGTTTCCTGCTATACATGAGGAATATTTTCCCAAGGTTTTATATTCTGACCAAATAGAGATTTTCTACATGAGTAATAGACAAAACGTTATCATTCCCTAGAAATTAAAATGTATAACATCAAATTCCTGGTAGATAAGCATCTATTACAGACCTCAGTGATATGTTTTACTTTGCAATGCTTGTCGTGGTTCTTTGGATGACATCTAGTAAGTATTTTCACACATTTGGCTATTAAATGTTACCTGTTGAAGGGAAGTGATCCTGTGTAAACTGGAAAAAAACTTCTTTCTAAGCCTGTTCAGTCATTCCTAGGGAAGGAAGAAGTCAGTTTGAAGAACAGGGTTTTCTGAGACATTGCTTGGTGCCGTGTATTTACTCTTATTGTATCGTCTCTAAGAATAACTAGTGTCATATCCCTGAAATGCCCCTCTTGTGTTCCCAAGATTTGCCAATCCAAGGGGACTGTAAGCAGGCAAGGACTGGGATTCCCAGGTGGTATTATCTGGCAGGCCCTGGGAACTGAGCAAACAAATGCAATCTGTAGAAACTGACTTCCTGCTTGTATGTTGTCAGGTATTCCTTGGAATGCTTTTTATACTGTAGAACACACAAAGCTAATGATGTCACTGCTCTGTACCCGCTTCCTGCAGTAGCTTGCTGCTGAGCAGTCTAACCAGCCACCACTGTACTGCTACAGGTGCTGTTGTTAGGTATACCTCCCTTGTGGGTTCTGCCAGGGGTGCTGTTGTTGAGTTTGGTTGCAGAGACAAATTAATTAGGAAAAAAACTCACTTCTATTCAAGTTGAATTTGTCCCTTTCCACTACATGTCATTTGTTAAGACAAATGTAACATGCACACAGTTCATCTTCTAAGAGAACAGTATTCAGTAAGCATCATTTTAAAACCATTTACCTGACTTCAAAGATTGCTCCCTAGGTTTAGTTTAGATACAGTGACCAGTGCATAAGATTGTGGCACACACAAAACACTTCATTGTAAGCTTTACCAAGCTTTATAAAGTATTTAGAAATGTTTAGGTTTGTCCTTGTTGGGTTGCTTCCTTTTTTACTTTTCTCTGCCTCATGCTAAATAATCCCTGTATTTATGCTTTTTTCCACCATACACATGAGAAATTTAATCATTGCCTCGTTTTTCATTTGCTTCATTTTCTACATACATAACTTTAATTTTCCCACATTCCTAACAGTCTCTTAGTACTGTTTTCCACATGATCAAATGTGTCATATTATTTTTAGACCTTCACAAGTTGTGTTCTCTTGAATCACTGTTAGTGCCTGATGATGTTTCTATATGGGCCAGTCTGTTTAAAGGACATATCTTTTGTTTTCTGCCAGTTCTTTAAAAATTCATACCTAGAATCTTCCAGAAGTTTCTTATTTAATTTATTTTCCCTACCCTGTCAACTCCAAATAGGAATTGAAAATCTTAGCTTAATGCGTAATAATTTTTCTCTAATGAAGTTTTCTGATGAGAAAGTATGTTCATTGAAAACAAAGCAAAACGACACAATGTACAGTAAAAGGCATAAAAAGTTTTTTTTTTATTTTAAAGAGTAAAAGAAGGATAACATAATAATAGGGGGGACTTA